GGGGGGGGGGGGGCACTGTAGTTCCTACCCCAAGTCTGTTGGTGCTGCTTTGGCATGACGTGAGTGAGCTGTGGGTCAGTTCCTGGAGGTAGAATTCTGGCTCAAAGTGTGCGTGGTGCTCATTTCAAGTGCTGGTAGAATCTGCCAAATCACCCCCCTCGCTTGAAGGGGTCTATAATGCTTTGCAAGGTGGATGGAGGTACATGGCCCCAAACCAGAACCTCATCTGGAAGCCAGCAGGTGGGGAGGGCAGCAGGGCACCCCGGCTGGGGAAGTGACACCTCCACTGGATTCCATTGGCAGAAGGGTACTGGCTGGGCAGCCACCTGCCTCTAGGGCCACATCCAGAGCATGTCCAGCTGGCGGGGAACTGCATCCACTTGAGATGATCCCATTCTACCAGCACCCACACCTCCAGAAAGCCAGCTATGGGGCCCCAGGGCCGGTCCTTCCCTGCGCAGAGAGGCCGACCTCGCCAGTTCAGCGGAGACAGACTTGGTTTTATGGGTGTTCTCTCCAGAGCTAAAGAACATCACTAATCCCCAGTTGTGGAGCAGACACAGAATTGTTCTAAAGCCTGCGGACTTAAGAACAATTCCTAATTACGGATAAATCACCAAATACAGTCAACATAACAGTTTTGAGTATTTCCATAAATTCTAGTTCTCTAAGCTTAGGGGCAGGGGCACTGAGTCCACAGAATGGATTTTCTTTGATAGTGGGACTTGCCGTGGGGCTTTTGCCATGACTTGGAGTGAGGCTGGGGTGCTGGCCTGGCAAGACGCCCCACTTTTTTTTTTTAAATATATCTTTATTGATTTCAGAGAGAGGAAAGGAGAGGGAGAGAGAGAGAGAGACAGAAACATCAATGATGAGAGTCATTGATCGAGCCCGCAACCCGGGCATGTGCCCTGACCGGGAATCGAACCCTGATCGTCTGGATCCTAGGTTGACGCTCAACCGCTGAGCCACGCCCGGCCGGACGGCCCCACTTTTACTGACATTTCCAAGAGGACGCTGTTTACCAGCCAGCTCTTGACGGACCAGTGGTGGCCCTGGTCCTGTCCTCTGCTCCCTGCTGGCCAGCTGGATCGTGGTGAGCCCTGTCCCTCCCCGAGGCTCCCCACCAGCCGCTGGCCTTTCTTGATGCTAATTCTGTCATCGCTCACACTCGCCTCTGGCACTGCCCCTCTCGGGACGTAACCTCATGTCCCGTGTTTTGAATGTGTGTGTCCCTCTTGTCCCCTTTACAGGGGATCGCCTTTGGCCCAGCTAAGTTGAGTTTGTCGGGGTGAAGTGTTGCACTTCCTTCGTGCCTCCCGCTTGTGATTTCCGACTTTGGATCCTAAGTAACAGTGTTGCCATTTTTGTTTTTTCAGTACTTTTACAACATCACAAGAGCCGCTTCCAATTACTCAGTCCCAAGGACTTGTTTTCAGAGGGCAGCAGCTGGGACGGGGCTGCCCCTGTGTCAGCTCAGGCGTCAGGGCCCCAGCCCGGAGCAGCACCGGATCTCTGACTGGAACCTAATCTGAAGGGTCGTTAACTCCGCATAATGAGTAGTTAACTTGGTCCACATAAACAGTAGTTAACCCAATATAAAGAATTTTTAACTAGGCATAATGAATAGTCAACTTGTATAAAGAATATTTAACCACCCTCGCCGGTTTGGCTCAGTGGTTAGAGCACTGGCCCGAGGACTGAAGGGTCTCGGGTTCAGTTCTGGTCAAGGGTAACTACTTCAGTTGCAGGCTCGATCCCGGCCCTGGTCAGGGCACGTGCAGGAGGCAACCAGCCGATGTGTGTCTCTCACATCGATGTTCCCCTCTGTCTCTTTCTCTCTCCCCTCCCCCTCTGAAAAGCAATGGAAAAGATATCCTCATGTGAAGATTTAAAAAAAAAGAAAAAGAATATTTAACCAGGCATAAAGAATAGTTAACGGGGCATAAAGAATAGTCAACCAGGCATAAATAATAGTTAACCTGCTTGCCACAGAGGGTTGCTAACTGGGAGGCTAAGGGGCAGTGGGCATGCAGAAGCACCAGCTGGCATCTGGGAGGAGGTGGGGTGCCTCGCGCAGGACCTGAGTGGTGGGCCTGGCCCCAAGCAGGAGGCACCGCTCTCCTGAGCTTGCTTGGAGGACTGACCCCACTGGGATAAGTTCTTCGGAACGGAAACCACAGGGTGGGAGCATGCAGCTGGATGTCTTGCTCAGGAGACCTGGGCCCATTTGCCGAGAAGGTTGCCAGGGCACCCCCTCCCCACGTGGACACT